TGCTTTATGTCCTACACAAAAAACACCCACTGCGCGTCGCAGACTTACTCAAGCGCGAATGTAATCGTAAAATTTACAACTGTCGTTGCGTTTGTAGCTTTTAACGTAACAAACGTGGCAGCCACATATTTTGCGAATACATATGTAGATACATATTATGTACATTTATATGTATATATCAGTTATATTTTATTTAAATCCATGCTAATTCCAAACATACTACACGGGTTACTAAATATGTCTGATAATATGAATAAGGCACAATTTTGTGCCATCGGAGTGAAAAATATTTCTCATCAAAAGTATATATTTTTATATTCTTATCTTGACTTTCATAAATAACTACACGGTCCAAACCAGAAATAATTTTTTCGATCAGGGAATTCCTGCTAATCCTTTGAAGTATTACACTGGGAATAAATCTATTAAAATTAAGAAAAACTTGTTAATGAACTCCTTGCAGCGAAGCCTAAATTTGCTATGCTTCACGGCAGTTGTTATATCCTGCAGACTAACCGCCCAATTCTGTGTTTTCTTGATAATTTTTTTGTAAAGAAATTTTATCAAGATTTTTATCAAGTAGAAGCTTCCTTCGCATTCTGTGTCAATATTTATAAAACAAAAAGCTCTACGACTTCCACATTAGTGGAACTGATTTCCACATGAGTGGAACTGATTTCATTGTCACATATGAAAAGTATGAAATTAAAAGCGAAAAAGCTTTTGACTGCCGTAGCCGAGTAGGTAGAGATGTCGACTATAATTCCGTGTGTCGTAGGTTCAAATGCCGGCACATGGAGTATTTAATTGTTAGAAACAAATTTATTAAGATACAAAACTTATACAATTCACATGAAATTTCAATTTGTCAATAGCATTTTCAATCTTGATAATTTATCAAGAAAAGAGCTTTTGATTTCTGTGCTAGAATACCAATTCTTGATAAATAATAAAAAATTTACAAATTATAAAGATTTTCAATTTATCAAGTGCACAGAATTGGGCTGTAAGTATTTAAGAATATCATTATTCCACTATTGATTGGTTGAGCCCGAAGTAACGACTGGTAGATCACAATGTTCAGGGTTAGGACCTCTTTAGCGAGACATCGTGTATGGTGACATGTTGCTGCTTATGAGTGGGTCTTTTATTTTGAGGTCAATGTGTCCATCGTTACGGTAACAAATACACACTCCGAAGTGGTAGACATCAGCCAGTACAAAAATGAGCAATACGAAATGTGACCAATCCCGTTCGAAATATAAAAGTAAATGCGTCTGGGCCACACAGAAGAATTGAAACTTACGGTACATATCTAGTTTGTCTCATAATCAATATATATACATACACATACATACGCGGGTTTGTACTTTAAATGACGATATGCATTTCATTGGTTCAAAATTGTGGATAAAACGACAGGGTAGTCAATAAACTTAATGTTATATTACATTCCCACTGCACTGAGTTCCGAGATTTCGACCTCGAAATCTTAAAATCCTGTTAAAAGGTTTCCACCACACTTTCTTTCATTTGCTAATATGTTTTTGTGTTCTTTTGTTTATGTACAGAATTTTGACATTTTAAGTGAAGCTTTTTAGTATCCAAACCCTTCGTTTTACAAAATTGAGGATTTCGATAGGATTTCGTTGAAATCTGATTGAAATCTAAGAATTTGAAATGACGAAATTTTATGGGAAATCCTACGGGATTTGAAAAGATTTCGCTAATTCTCAAATTTCAGTGCATTGGGAATGTACTATTATACGCCTAAGTTTACATTTTATCTTTTTTCTATCTTTATCCCTACCTCTACCCTTTTCGTTCTAATTACATTCATGTTAGTTTGTTTTCCTTTGTCTTTATTTTTTATCTTTATACTATCCTGTTCTTATAAAAGTAAAGTGTTTAAATTTTCCTTGGCCTTCATCTTTACTTGTATCCTTTTCTTCATCTACATATTCACATATTTAATGTGAGGTGCGATGACGTGAAAAGATGTTATATGATGTGGTGCCATGTGATGTGAAGTGATGTGACAGGATACCATGTCATGCCGCTTGATGTCATATCATTTGATGTTCTGTCATATGATATCATATCATGTGATGTCATGTCATATGGTGTCATATCATGTGGTGTGATGATAAAATGTGTTGTCATAATATGTAATATCATATATCATGATATGATGCCATGTCATGTGATTTAAAGTCATGTCAAGTAATGTAAAATCGTGTGATCACATGCCAAATATTAAATCGATAGCAATATCAATAATCGAAAAATGTATCGATAACAAGATCTATTAATTAAACGATAGTAACATCGAAAAAAAAATATCTACAGATGCTTTCCATTTCCAGACAACCGGTCAGATACGAGCATGATTTTTAATTTCGACCAAACTCAAATACATTGTTTGTTGGTCCAAATAATGAGACACGTATTTTTTCTTTTAGCTCGGAAAAATTTTTCGGCCGAATTAAACACGATTTTGTTTTTCAGGCAAAAACCGATTATTCGAATTGACAGTGAGAATTTTTTTTTTAAATGCCCATAACTTTGTCAAAATTTAATAGATTCCAACAATCTTTTTACTCAAATGTCAGTAATTCTTGTCACTTCAAGATAGAATGATACATTTATTGATTTTCATTATTTAAAATTTTTTATTTAAGAATAAACAAAAAGTGCAATTTTTTTTTTTTAATTTAATTTCTCAAAAAGTGTATTTTTTTTTCTCTCAAACTTTTTTACCGGGAAAGAGACACTTTGAACTACAATCAACCCAAATCTCTAATAGCGAAGATTTTTTTTTCTGAGTTATGATTTTTTATAGAAAATATACGTTTTTGTGGTACATACTACAATATTCTTATATTGTTTAACTAAATGGAACATATGTATGTAATATATCAGCAAAAAGTACAGCCGTGATCATTTTTTGTGTATCAAATAGATATAAGAACACACTTTCCACCATACAGTTTCGATTATAAAAAGCAGGAAAATGTGATTTTGTATTTCGAAACTGTATGGTGGAAAGTGTGTTCTAATATCTCATTTGAGTCGTTTATTATGTATAGGTTTTGATTGCAGTGGCAGTTATGCACAGATGAAACCATTAAAAAATATCTCAATTTAGTAATA